TTTCTTCAACTCTTTGATGAATGAATAAAGTATTTCTTTTAAATATATCAATGTTTTGGGCGGGAAATTTAGGGGTGTTACAAATACATATTCCCTCCTTTTTTTCTTGAACAAAACACCCTCTCTCCTTTAGAGGGAAGTTTGAAGTACGGTACTTGTACTTGATATCAGTCACTTCCGCAGCATATTAATGGAATGCTCTCAATTTTTTTACTATGGATACTAGGGGGTAATTTTATTTTGGGGGTATAATGGGAAAGTCAAAACAAATAATTCCACTTTCTTAAAAACGGTAAATTCAAACACTTAAATTAATTTAGTACCGGAGGGAGTATGTGTGTATGTTATCAACTCCATCATGACTTTCTTAATCAGAACTACTCTTAATAGTTAAAAATTGACCGGCTCACATCTTAAGTTTTATGCTTTAGTTTGGGAGGTCTCTAGAAGAGATTTGTGTCTCACAACATGGGTGTAGGGGTGAGTTGAGATCCATTCAATTGATTTAGTTTTGACCTAAACGCAAATGGTAAAAATATGCTCATCATTGTCTAAAAATACCACAATTGTAAAAATATGTTCATTGTCTAAAAATATCACAATTGTAAAAATAATAAAATATCACAATTGTAAAAATACTAAAAATGAGTCTTCATCTTGCAATAATAACTAACGAAAAAACTAAAAATAAAACGACAACAAAACATGTACTTTGAAGTAATAAATTAGAGAGCACATTTTTGTGATTTTTTTAAAGATAATTAAATGCATAAGTTTGTAATTGAAACATATATAATGTAGTCGCATGTTGAACTTTCACTTGTAAAGGTTGTATACATTAATTCATTTTCTTTCTTATAAAAAAGTTTTTTATATTACTGCTGGTGTATAACTTAGAAAAAAATTATTTAACTTTTTTTTAGTCAAAAGTATATATGTACCAAGTTTTCACACCTTGTGTTTAGTTATTTGAAAATACTTGATAATACATATGCTATCTAAGGCATAATTTAGATGAATATATCTCTTTTGCAATAAAAATGATGTCATAACAAACCAAAGAAACTAATAACAAAATATCATCGTCATGTAACAAATAGCAAAAACATAAATATATAACAGTTTAAAGTATCAATATAATAATAGCATTATAGCAAAACACCAAAGTATGTATACAAATATTTCACTTAACTAGATCATATGTAGTATATATCATATATCAGTATCTTAATAGTCACAATAACTATATCGCCAAACATTGAATTTCTAAACTCAGGAATTAAGTACTAAAGTCTAAAGAAAATGTTATAGAGTAGCTAATAGGTACTTGTTAACAACTAAAATAGCATATTTAAATACTTCAATTTAATTGGTTTGGTTTGATTTTCAAAGGTGAAAGCCCAAACTGAAACCAAGCAACTAAGATCTTTTGTTTGATTTCAATTTTCTAAATCCACTTTATTTTGCTTGCGTTTGTGTTTTTATTGATCCGGTTTTTGTTTCGCGTCCACCCCTACATAGTTGTTCACTTGTTCTTCATTGTTAATATATAAAATTACAGTTGTTCTTCGTTGTTAATATACTATGTATATAATCTATATATAATCTATATATATATATATATATATATAAACGCAATCATTAGTTAACCGCCGTTCCCGCCATGTAGTAAAATATGCCGGGAACAGCGGCTCAATTTCGTGTCTAAAAATATGCCGACGTACTGCACACGTGGAAGGTGGATCAATTGACGGGATATAAAAATATGCCGACGTACTACAGACTAGATCCGGTGAGTGAATGAGAGGAAGGCGTGCTGACGATGAGAATAATAGAGGGAAACTATAGCCCCAGTGAATGTGCGGTGAAAGAAAATAATTCTATAATAAATATTGTACATTCATAAGTGTACGATCTATTTAGTACTTTATAACTCACATAGGTTTTTGTTATCCTATCATACATGCATTAGTTACCACTTACCGTCTACTTACAATCTCCTTTAAAGTGAATATATATTCATAATTTAATACGTAATATTAAAATTGTATTGAAAAATATTAATTTTTTTTTGTCCCGTGCATCGCACGGGTTCTATACTAGAGAAACATTTTACCTATTTTTCATATAATTTTTTCTTTATTTTATTTTTTTAATTATTCAGCAGAATCAGTCAATTCAACCACTTCAGCCAGAACTTCATAAATTTCACCAGAATCAGCCAATGCAGCTGAATTGGGTATTATCAAACGGGCTCTAAAGCTACAAATACTCATGTTCATGAAAATGGATTTTTGTTTTAGAAAAACATTCTCCAACAATCAAACTAAATACAAATTATAATTATGTAGAAGTCACGTAGTTAATTATAGATTAGTCTCAGATGCAACTTCAGTACCAAGTACTTTCAAGCGTTTCTCGATTTTTGGCTTAAAAGCTAAAATTAGTGTTTTCAAGTGACAACTTCTACTTTTTTTATCGTAAACTTGCCTCTATTCATATCATAAGTTTCAGAATCATTACATCAATCAAAGAAAAAAAATCTGACACCAACTAAACACCAATAACAACGACTGTAAAGTGTATGATCAAACTTAGAGACAGTCACCCCTGAAAGAGCAACACAAATCGCTAACCATGCAGCGAGCTTTACACAACTGTCCATGTTCCCATAGATCCAAACATACCCAATGACATAAAAAAGGCTAAAATCCCAAACAAATTGACAAACCTACCAACATAGACAATAGCAAAAAAACAAATGACAAAATAATAAAAACTAATAGGAAAACTTTCACGGACTCTAGCACCTCGTACAACCCATGGTGGTGGTTCAGGAGGAGGCCAGGCCTTCGCTATGATTTTTTACGCGGGCAACACACGACTCCAAACCCTAGCGCCTCTGCTCCAATCTGTCGCACTAGCCTTCGCTAGGATTTATAATTTTAAATCCTAAGTTATATTCAAGATTATGGACAAGTGATATTTATTTATTAATTATAGATATAAGAAATATAATTTCATATGGGTAATTAACATACGGTAACATGTTACGGTATTTGTATTTTATTATTACTAAAAGTTTGACATGATCTGGTATGTTCTATTATGTTTAAGTGCTATCCATTATGGCCTATTTAGATCTGATTTGGTCTGTCGTTGAAAATAATATAATTAAAAAATATCACATAACACATAATCACAAATAAAATCAGATCAGTCCAAATCAGACCTTATGCTACGTATCTTTACTTTTTATAAGAAAATTATTTTGAAGAAGTTCAAAATATTAGTCCCAACGGTTAAGTTAATTACAATTTAATGTTATTATTATTGTGTATTATTACATGTCAAATCATTTTCACAAAATTATTGGTAAGTTTATTGTTTTTGTGCAATCTCTAGAAATGAGATTAGAAGTGTTCGAATCTCAAATTTTCTAATATGTATGGTTGGAAGTATTGGATATAAACTTTGATTTGTTTAATATATGTAGAAAAATTTGCAATTTTCATCCCGTAATTTTCAACCATTTTCAATATTAGTCCCGCAACTTTAGTCAGTTGTAAATTTAGTCCTCTAACTACTTAATATTCCCACTGAAAAGTATACTTTCCCGTGATAGTATACCGAAAAAGATGTCTCCGACGTTGGATTTTTCTGCCGGAAAGTGTAGTTTCCTGTGGAAAAATCCTTGAATTGCAAAGATTTATTAGTTACAGGACTAAGTTTGCAAGTGATTAAAGTTACAGTACCAATAACGATAACAGCCAAATGTTACACGATTAAAATTGCAAATCTTTCATATATATATAATTACAATGTTCAATTAGTTTTACTTTTCACATATAAATACCATATTTATATTTCGTTATTATTATACAAAACTATGTTATTATGCAAATCTTTAAATGGAGTTTTAAAAAAATAGGAGAAGAAAAGAGTAAAAAAGTGACGAGGTTGATTAAATAAAATAATATGATAAATGGAGAGTTTGTAAACAAAGAATCGCTCTTTGTATTGAATTTTAGAAAGAAAAAAACTCAGATTGGTATATGTGGTTAAAGTTTATTGTGAATTTATGTACATTTGCTTTATTAATGTTTCATAATAATGATGATTAACCATACAATTGTGACAGTTGTATAAAAGAATGTATTCTAAAATTGTAGATTGATGTCAATCACACATACAAAGTATTACATTGGGTATTACAAATTCTCCTCCACAATTTATATAATAAGATATATTATCGTACGTCTTTGTATGACAAAAGTTTATTTTGAACTTCTCCGTGATTATTTGCAAATACTACTCTCACGTGCATTGCACGGGTAGAATACTAGTTATATAAAAAATAGAGTTTCGAAAATATTATAGAAGGATCTTTTTTATTGTATAAACTTCTCATCATAAATTTGTTTTATTTAATACTAGTAATTTATTTTGGAACAGTTTTGGTGTTACCTAACATTTTATTTAATACTAGTAATTTATTTTGGTAACCATTTTCGTGTTACCTAACATTTTTAATTCACATTTTTCTACAGATACTACTATTTCTTCTTCAACATTTCTAAACGAACATGTTTACACAATTATGCACAACACAATTAAATTTAGCACGTAATCAAATATAAATATGGCACACTACACTTTTTACTTGGAGTGATTTCATTCTCATATCAGGTCCAATCAAACTAGATTTAAGCACATCAAATCAAATCAAACTGGAATACTAGTAAAAATATGCATACTATCAAAGTATCAATACCAGACTTAAAGACGAGAACATAAAATTTCAATCCAAGTGAAAGTATCAATAATATGTTACTATTTCCAATCAAATTTTTCAGATGACCGATAATTTAACTTTTGTTACCGCTTTTGCATCGAACCGGCTTAAAACTAGTACAAGTATATATGTATATAATGAGATAAGCAAACATCTAAGTGACATGACAATTGTACTACTCCACAATAATGATGCAATTAGATTGTATGAAATAGCAACCCCAATTCAATGACAAGCGAAAAAGTACTCATTTGAGAATAATAAAGTATTAAAAAAAATTGAAGTATCCCCCATGTCTAAGTAATTGTCATATACAGCTCTACATATCTGCTCTATCTCTAATTAAATAACGAAAGATTATACACATTTTGTTGTTTGTCTACCTAATACCTACATTAACAGATCAGAATATCCCTGGACTAAATGAGTTGCTCAAGAAACTGGAATTCCCAGTACTTCTCCGAGCGTCTACCTGAGAAAGTATACATGTGGCTAGCGAAAAAACAGATAAACTTCACCATATATATATATATATATATATACCACACACAAGCCTTGACATTATCTTATACATGGTTTTCTGATGACGCACCAACGTGTTCGCGAGAAAAGCCACCTGCTGCTCTGCAACACAAACATCAAGCAAGCACCATTTGTACCGATTAATCTGCTGATTTAAACATAGGCGGTTTCATCTCATTTTTTATACTCCATAGTAAATACTCCGTATTAAATAATAAACATGTGAGGAGTGTACAAGATCAATCAAGGTGTCGCCTTGTCGTTTACTGGATTTGCAATGCCACAACACTACTATTACACCGGGTTAACCGAAAAAACTATATAATAAATAGGTTAACCAAAATTTCAGCTGGGAATGAAAATAAAAACAGTTTTTTAAATAAACTTCAGGGTGGTAGCCCTTTTTCTGGGTTATCAGCCTTAGTAGATTTTCTGACCAAACGCGAAACATTTGATGTCGCGCGCGCATTGAATTGCATAAGAATCAAAATAAGTAAGGCCGGAGTTATGTTTTGACTGAATTGGATGAAATATTGCTGAAGAACACAATTTCAACTTTTCAACTTTCCTCCATATTTTTTCTTAAAGTTATTAGTAAAATATATTTTAAATATAAATCTTTCAGATCTCAGTTGATTCAAACATAACTTCAACAATTTTAGCCGATTCACCCAATTGGATAGTTTCCAAACACACTCTAAATGATTTGGCTATAAATCAAGAAACACGGGAGCATATTCCTATATGCATCAATTATAAAGAACTGAATTCTTCAAATCAACTATTCAAATAAGTTTCCATTTTCCATTTTAACAAACATGTTTTTAGGTACTGCATTTCAGTTAACCGACTGATATTCTGAAGATTGACATACATTTTCGGCCGGTTAACTGCAAAACAATTGGAGGTTTTCTCTTTCGGGTTTTTGGACCCACCCCTGGGTAGTTCCCTGGCAGATCATAGCAGGGTCAATTGAAAAATCATAGGCAGCCAAGAGAGCCTAGCACCTTAACAAGTTACTGGGCGGGAATTTTTAGAACAGAGAATGTGATGCAATGTGGCATACCTTTTAAGTTCCTGAGCATTTAAACCCTTCTGTGGCATCTTTCTTTTGAACAACTCAAGAGAAACCCTTTCACCTTTTCCTAAATCTTATAAACCAACATTTGTTGGGTTTACATTCACTTATACTTAAGGATTGTGATAGGTGAGGTTGACCTCGCTTTGACACCGCATGCTTTTCCATTGCATTTATGAATTTTTTCAAGTGTGTTATGTACTCAGGAAAGGTCTCTAGGTTGCAGTGACCTCCACCTTGGACCCACAGCGGATCATATTTCTCTTTGGAAAGTTCCCACAGTCGCTTCCCATGGGAGAAGTCAACTACTTCATCAGATGTACCCTGCAAATGTCCCTCATCAGAAAGAAACATTTAATGGCACACAGAAGGGTTCAGATGCTCAGGAACTTAAACAAAATACTCCAAAATTCTACCCAGTTCTTATATGCTAATGGTCAGTGTGATCATGGCCATTTAGGATGTTTTTACTTGGACTGTTTTTCAGTCCCAGACCAGATCAAACCAGACCAAACCAGACTTGGACAGTTATAAAATACAAAGAGACCAAACATTTATCAGACCAAACCAGAAAATTCCAGTCCAAGTAAAAGCCGACTTAAAGGAGCAAATAGATGTCCATTTGGTTCCTTACCAATTGGTATATTAGCAATTTTTTTACCAAACACTAACATATTTTACTAGGGGCACCAAACACCAAGTCATGCTAAAATGGTAACATGCACATGCAACAATTATCCCGCACCCGACTTACAATATATTTCAAAATTAGGAAGAAGTAAGAAAGGAAAGAGCACCAACGTCATCAACAACAACATTACCCTAGTGAAAAAATCGCGTCGAAATTTGCATGAACTGCCTGCTCCTTCATAACAAAGAAGCGCAGACAGTTTAGTAAGCCATTTTACTTTATTCCATCATATTCCCAAGCCAAAAAATAGTGAGTCTTTGTCTCCATTGGTAGACGAAAAAAATATGAAGTCAACTCTTTATATATTTAATTAGAAACTTTTTTATGAAGCCAATTTTTTATATATTTAATTAGGAAAAATTCAAAAATGAATGTACATGTGTGTGTATTATTATTATAGAGATATAGAAAAAGTAGCTAACTCGTGTGAGTGTTTACCACTAGCCTAAATAGGCAGATCAAGAAAAAGTACTTCCAAATTTTTCATTGGCTGAAATGAAGATAAATGACCCTTCTACCTTTATAAGTCAGCTAGTATTTCATTTAATACATTAAAAATCTGTCTTTAATACAAAATCAGATACACATGCATTTTTTGTCATACTTTCAGCAACTCCTGACAAATTTTACCCTACAAACAAGCTGTAATGATTGTTAAGAATAAGGAGTAAGTACATGTTTGTTACTTACATGGATGACTAAAACTGGGCAGCTGACTTGCTTTATCTTGTCTATGTTCTAGTAGAAGACAAAAAGAGAAAAATACAACTTTTAAGAAAACAATGATTGAGTGTGGCATGAAATATCAAGCAGCAGTCAAAATAAAAAGTTACTTTGAAAATGTCGAACCAGAATGTCATCTTGACCTGACACAGGACTCTTATTCCAGAAAGGATAGCACTATGAAGAACAACTGCTCTCAACCTCGGCAAACAAGAAGCTAAGTGCAATGTTGGCCCACTACCAACAGATTGGCCATATAGAATCATATCCTCAGGTTTGATTTCATATTCACTCTTCAAACAACCGTGAACAGCTTCTATGTCATAGTATGTGTTCAACTCAGATGGCTGTTCAAATAAAAGCCCAAATTAGTTATAAACAACGGAAGAATCCAGGTACAAGTCATTAATGTAATGACATAGTACCCTTAATTGTGACAAAACTACATTTTGCGGAGATTGTACTAAAGTAAAATCTGTTTAAATTTGACCTAGTTGACAAGCTTAACACACATTCGGATATCATGTCAGTGCGCCATGGTGTTTAGCCACTATGATTTTTATAGACATACAGTAAGGTGTTAAGTGGAAGCTGACTGAGTCGGACTGATAGAGAGCAGGGAGAGCAGGGGGCTGTACGGAAGAGGAGGGTCCAAGACCCAGACCTCTGTCCGTTTAATGCAGGCGGGGACGGGCTTGAGCCCACCTTCGTGGGCTGGTTGTAGGCTGGAGTTTTAGTTTTACTTATTATAAACTTTGTTTTATGTTTTCTAGTTTGGGCCTGTTATTAGTAGAGAATTTAGTAGATTTAATTCTGGCATAATTAGGGTTCACTTAATTTGGGCTCGGATTAGGGTTTCCGTGTAACGGCAGCTTTATCTACCGTTAGTTAAATAGTTAGTTAGTCGGAAAAGTTGGTTGTAGTCCATTTTAATTGTGAACTAACTAGCTAAGCTACGCTGAATATACATAAGGATGATGATAATGAATAAACTCAGTTCGCTATTCCATACAGTTTTGCATTCGTTTCTCGTATTACATTTAGCAATGGAGTTAGGCTCTTATTGATCATCGTCATTAACAGTTGAGTAAAACTCCTGTTACATTCCGTTGGGTCTGTTACTAGAAGGGTATTTAAAACCCTTGTTTGAGTTCATTCTTGCTCAACAGTTAATAAAAATGGATTTCAGCCTTTCTGCTCTGGGCAACGGTTTCTACCGTTGAATCAAAGGTTTATTTCTTTGATTTTTATTTTCTGTTCTCATCACGGACTGAACAAAGATCACTATATGACAAAACATGGACATGTACTGCACCATTATAGACTTAGGACTGAACAAAAAAGTGACAAACTGAAACCAGCCGAAACCAAACTGAAAAAGCTAAAAAGAGACCAGACCATGGGCTGTGTGGTTTACAGTTAAAGATTTATGCTTTAAAAAGTGGCCAAAATGCGCCAAAACCAAGCGAAACCGACTTGCACTGACCTAAAAGAAACAACCCAGCCAAACTTAATCAAAACCGTTCAGGTCTTGGTTTCACATTTTTAAAATTAAATTGACCAAAATGGAAAACCGACCAAACCAAGCAGACTAATATCCCTAATTATAGTTGACAAGTCAAAAAAAATTTACAGGACATAGCACTTGTCATTTGGTTAGGTAAAAAATGAGAGAAATGAAATAGTTGAGGTACGATCCGGACAGTTTACCCTTCAAGATGCAAGGGATATAATCAAAGTTGTTATTTGTGCGGCATAAGGAAAATGGAAACTCTACTAGTCTACTGCCAAATTCAGTTTTCATTTCGGCTTTGAAACTTAAGAAGCAACCCAATACAAGTTTGTGCATCCTTACCTTACCACAAGATCTTCCATACCCTGAATAATCGTAGCTGCAAAGTAGTAAAGATCACATTATCAGGAGAACAGTAAAAGGCACACAAAGTAACTAGGCCTCTTAATATAGAAGGCTTGGAATTTTTAAGAAATACACCATGTGAAAGATCTTTTATATATTAACACAACTATTTTAGTCTTTTATTTTGGAAAAATATGAAACATTGAAACCTATACGGGAGTATGATAATGTAATGTTTGAGAAAATCTTGACTAAAGCTGTAATGCTACTAGCACTCTTGAAAGTTAAAGGACTTGCATTAGAATAATGGTTCAGCAAAAACTTCTGTGAAAGCTTGTAACAAAGCTGATGAATTACAAAGATGCTGTGCTTGAACAATGTATAGATCAAATTTATAGGTCACTGAGAGATAAATAACAGGAATTTATAAGGATTTGGAAATATAGATCAAGTCATTAAAGCAATTAGACAATTTCTAGCAAAAATGCCCCCTTCTTGCTCCTCTTAAATACCTGATTAACAGAACATGTCTTTTGCTATTAACCCGAACATATTAAGGAAGGATGAAAGAAAGAAAGAAGTCAAAGAACCATATGGATGAGGTAATGTACGCATACCTCATGATATTGACACGGAGGTGCGCTCTGAGCTCAAGGAAGAGCTCCAACATCTGCCCCAAATCCGCAGCATTTCCATGGGAGTATAAGAGGGTGAATCTGGCAAAAGGGTGTCTCCAGAAGGTGGCCACGATCTTGTTGCCTGCCTGGGTGTCCAGAAAATGCACGTCGACATCCTTGTCGGCCGTCACGCCGGTGACGCACAGCCGCCCTTCATCGTCGTCTTTGAAAACGTTGTACGTTGGCGGATCTGGTGGGAAAAATGCTAACTTTGCGGCTACGCTTGACGTGAGGTTCCCCATCGACGCTCTCACGGCTATTCAAAAGCATATGACGAATGAAAGCTCCTTCCTGCTCGTAACAATTGACATGATCAGAACGTCCTCTATCTTTCCTTTCTATTTTCTTCATCTTTTAAACTTTTTGTCCCTAAAGTGTCATATAAGTGTCATATAAGTACTTCTACTTCTAAAAAGTAATTAAATGAATCCTAATTAGCTATTTAACTCCTTTTAATCCCGGTTTCAACGTACTTCTGACTATCTTTTTAGAATACATTATACGGCATATGTCGAATATTTAACTAAGATTGGTTGAAATACAAGTCAAAAAAATCAGCATCTAAGCTAAAATCAGGATTAAGATGAGTTAAATAAGCCGTTAGGACTCATTTGATTGCTTTATACAAGTAAAGGTATTTATATGACACTTTATTGAGTACATGGTCTTATGTGACTATTTCGTAATAGTAGAAGACCTTATTGACCCTTTTCTCTCCATTCATTCATATTTTTTTATACACATCAGTACACCTTGGTATCTGTGAGATTTTTTTTCTGTGAATTCCAATCGACAGACAAAAACTGACTTGTTTTGTCTGTAGAAATTTCCACAGACAAAACAAGCCGGTTTTGTCTGTGAACTGGGATTCACACAAAAAAAAACTCTCACAGACACGGAGGTGTACTGGTGTGTATAAGAACGTGTACACCAAGAATTTTTGTTGTTTTATTACGAAAAACCCACTAGTATAAGGAGCATCAAAATATTGGTACAATCAAATAAAATCGAGGCAAATCGTCAAATAGGCCCGTATACCAATTAAGCACTCGAACTAATAAACATTCAATTTAAGTTCATTAACTTTTTAAAGAGTTTTTGCTTTCTCATCCTGCAAATCCAACTCAAGGATCCTCCCTCCCCTAGCATGTGCCGCCACTTTGTAAGCCCTAACAATTCCAAAATTCATTGCCCATCCATATAGACTTTGTGGAGTCTGAATGGTTGATAAGAGATCACATACTATTTTCTTTGATTTCTCTGTCATTTACTGAGTTGTGCTAAGAAGTTGTGTAACAAAAAATTTAAAAAATATGAGCATAAATGTGTTTTTGTGTTACAAATATTTTGATAGAATTTTTTTCAAAATGTCACCTTTGTTTTAGAGACTTGCAATACTTCATTGTCTGAAGTGCTTCCCAAATTGGTTTGCAGTACAAAGCATGTATCAAACATCTCGTATGCTCGAGCTTCACAATCCCTTCACATCTCTCACCGTAGTGTGTTGAGAAGAATTGCATTTCTCATGTAAAGTATCCGTAATTATAGTGGATTGGCATTGTGTTTATCTATTAAATGTATGATTTATCCATTGGATAATATACTTTATCATGGTTCATCAAAGCTAAGTGCCAGCCAGAACAATAAATGTGAGATTGGACAATTTTCTGCTCACCTTTGGTATTGGAAATGAAGTACACTAAGCTATGAGGTTTGTTGGTGTTACTTCACACGCATTTAATGTCTGGTTGTACTTTATATTCTTTTATATTAGTGATGAAACGTACAAACAAATCTTCCGTATAGGTCTTCAATAAATGCCCGCAAATTTGAACTCAAGATTAATCGACAGCTGTATTTACATGTGCTAGACAAATTATCTAATTGGTTTTGGATTTAATATTTTAAAAAGATTTGAAAAGACACATAGCTACAACATAGATTTGAAAAAACAATCAATGTATGTACTGTATAATCATTTCAGTTCGCTTGGTGTGCGACCATTGTTGACCCATTGTTGACCAAGTGGAAATGGGCGGGAAAATGGTCTGCCATTCCACTCTGGTTTGTATATAGAAAGATGCTACCAGCCTAACATATATTGTCCATTTAAACTCGCTCAATCAACAAAACCCAACTACACACATACCCTAACCCCTATATAATGTTCTTTAGCCTACAGTCGTTGCAAACATCTGTACACTCCAATAAGAGAACCACCGCTTTATCTGGTAATTTCACAAAGCAAGGTCGGTAATATTGACGTGCATTACCTTCCGGACCGATTCCGCCTGAAATCCATCCTTAGTGCGAATAGTTGATTGTTGGACCCCTAGCCAACAACTCTGATGGTGGAATCATCTTGTGAGTACTATCTGTTAGTACCCAATTTTGATAGATTTTGATGATGCCAATATACTTTACTCTTGTACATTATGTCTTATTTACCTTGAAAGTTAGTGATGGATTATAGGTATCCAAGTATATATAAAATGGGAGAGATTTGAGCATATAGAGAGGAAGATGAATGAATAGTGGTATTGTTTGTGTGATAATGATTCTAGGGTTACAAATGGCTCCAAGAGGAGTATAAATAGGGAAATAATGGGTCGGGCCGCTAATATGGGCCCGGTAGCCCAACTACATAAAAGACTAATCTAGTACATAGTTACATACAAATGACATATAAGCAGTACAATAATACAAATGATATCCGTAAGATGTGTGTGGGCCGCTGTCCGAGCCCAATAGTCGTGAGACCCGGGGGTCCGAGTCTATATACTCTATCAGGAGTCCCCCACTCTCTGAGTCGAGAGTATTCGAGACGAAAGAGAGTAGAACTGTGTGCTGATCTGTCGTCGTCTGGTGAGTAAACTTCGTGAACACAAATTTGAATTTCTGCTTCTTTGGTTAACGGAGGCGCTAAGTCCCCCGCTCTTCCAGTCCCCCACTCCTTGAGGCGAGTGTAATGAGGTGAAGAGGAGTAGAGTAATGCGTGTCGGATGATGTCTTTAACAGGGGGCCGAGGGTTGACACTTTTTGATCCACGATGGGGAGATGCCTCGTTAAAAACCTCATTAGGAAAAACCCTGTGGGAAAAAATCCTAATGAGGGAAAAAGAGTACACCGGATGCCCCCAAAATGAAACAAAAGGTGCAAACCCTTCGGCCTGGAGATGGAGCTGCAACGGTGCCCGTCTGCTGGGGCGATGGTCGAGGCCGGTCCTCGTATGTGCGTAGCTCCGCATGATAGGTAATCCTAGTCATCAAATAAAGATGACTAAGAGATAGGTCGAGTGACCATCCACAATATGATGTCTGGTTCATCAAATAAAGATGACCAGAACGTAAGGCCGATGGGCCGAGAGGCCTGTACGAGAGCTCCACGTTGTCAAATAAAGACGACGGGGCGATGGTGCGGCCGAGGGGCCTGCATAAGAGCTCCACGTCGTCAAATAAAGACGACGGGGCGATGGTGCGGCCGAGGGGCCTGCATAAGAGCTCCACGTCGTCAAATAAAGACGACGGGGCGATGGTGCAGCCGAGGGGCCTGCATAAGAGCTCCACGTCGTCAAATAAAGACGACGGGGCGATGGTGCGGCCGAGGGGCCTGTATAAGAGCTCCACGTCGTCAAATAAAGACGACGGGGCGATGTGTGCGGCCGAGGGGCCTGCATAAGAGCTCCACGTCGTCAAATAAAGACGACGGGGCGATGGTGTGGCCGAGGGGCCTGTAAATGAGCTTCGCGTCATCAAATAAAGATGACGAGGCGATATATGCCCGATGGGTCTGCAACTGAGCTTCGCGTCATCAAATAAAGATGACGGAGCAAGATGTGGCTCAGAGGCCTACAAATGAGTTCCTCGTCATCAAATAAAGATGACAGAACGATATATGGCCGATGGTCCTGTAGATGAGCTCTTCGTCATTAAATAAAGATGACAGAGCGATATATGGCCGATGGGCCTACAAATGAGCTCTTCATCATCAAATAAAGATGACAGAGCGATATATGGCCGATGGGCCTACAAATGAGCTCTTCATCATCAAATAAAGATGACAGAGCGATATATGGCCGATGGGCCTGCAAATGAGCTTCGCGTCATCAAATAAAGATGACGGAGCGATATATGGCTGAACTCTGGGCTCCTTTAGCCTTTCGGCCGGAGACCACAAGATGTTCGCTATATCTGAATAGGGGGACGAGGCGGTGGACGCCTGTCTGAATATGAGGACGACGACGCTGATGAGTCGGTCCGAATATGAGGACGACAGCGCTGACGAACCGGTCCGAATATGGGGACGATGGCGCTGGTGAGCCGGTCCGAATATGGGGACGAGGCGATGATAAGCCATGCGTCATATGAAGGCGACGGTCACCATCCAGGAAGGGAATGGCGAGCCTGGTCGCTAGATAAGGACTTCGGCGCTGGGGCCGGTCTAAATGTGAGGACGAGGCGATGATGAGTCGTGCGTCATATAGGGGCGACGGTCGCCATCTGGGAAGGGATGGCGAGCCCAATCTCTATAACAAGACTTCGGCGCTGGGAGCCGGTCTTGAGAGAAATAATCACGTCGCGGCCGAGAGGCTGATCGCGATGTGCGGATGACAATGATGAGGAGCCAGTCCGAAATATGATGACGAGGCGATGATGGAGCCGATCGTCATATAGAGGCGATAGTCACCATCCAGGAGGGGAAGGCAAGCCTGATCGCTAGCCCAACACACTCGGCGCTGATGAAGCCGGTGTTGGGATAGGGTGTGACGTCGTGGCCGAGGGGCCGATCGTGATGCGAGGTCGTCAGCACTATGAGGCTGATCCAAAAGTCCAAGCAGCGGTCGCCATCCGATGAAGGAATGACTGAGACCGGTCTTAGGGATAGATAATCACGCCGAGGCCGAGGGGCCGATCGTGATGTGCGGACGGAGATGATGAGCCGATCCGATAATATGATGACGAGGCAAGAATGAAGCCAATCGTCATATAAGGGCGATGGTCACCATCCAGGAAGGGATGGCGAGCCCGATCGCTAGCTCAAGACTCTCGGCGCTGAGGAAGCCGGTCTTGAGATAGATAGTCACGCCGAGGCCGAGGGGCCGGTCGTGATGCGCGGATGGCGATGAAAAGAGCCAATCCGAAATATGATGACGGGGCAATGATGAGTCGGCCGTCATATAGAGGCGATGGTCACCATCCAGGAAGGGATGGTGAGCCCAGTCGCTAGCTCAAGATCGCGTTGAGACCGAGGGGTCTGCCGCGATGTGAGCATGACGGCGATGATGAGCCGTTCCAATAAAT